GCTGAAGGTAAAACAGTGGTAAAATAGCAGTAAATCTGAAAAATACATTTTGTTTGGGGACTATTTTGCCTTACAAAACCCTGTAGGTAGTTAAAAAATATGGCTCAGGCCAAAATCTTATCTCAAAACTATTGTAAAATAATATTTCAGGCATCAGACAGCATATTCATAACCATTATATGTAATAACTTTCAATGGGGGAACTTTTAGAAGCATTAAACTCTTCAGACGTCTGGTTCTTGTCACCACCACAACAATTCTGGCTCGGTGTGTTTCTAGAAGGGCACATTATTATGTAGAACTTTTTAAAAATTTGTGGAGTTCCCCTTTAATATAGACGTGCTTCATCTTTAATAGACTTAAAAATTTTATGTTCCTTATAACTGCTAAAGAAAAAAAAGTCTCACTGGGAAAAAAAGGGAATTCCACCAGTGTAAACAAAGACATTTGGGGTGGTTTAATGTGAAAAACTTAACTGGAGAAAAAAACTTACTGACTTGGATTTCTTTACAGTTTTACATTTTATTTACTATCCTTAGTGACCAGTGAACTTCCATGTGTCCTCTGATTTATTTTTATATAAAATAATCTTTTAAGAACTATTTTGCCTTTGAACTTCCTGAATGCACATTATTTTAAAAATATATGTTTTAGGCCTAAATCTTACCCCAAAACTATTGTAAAACCACATCTCCGGCATCAGCCAGCGCAGTCATAACCATTTCTTGTAACAGCTTCCTGTGAGGTAGGTTTCAAAGGCTTTGGACATCCGGTTCCTATCACCACCACTGTGAAATTAAAAAGAAGAAAAAAAAAGACTTGGTAAGATCTCCTAGAATGGGTAATTTCACATCAAAACATTCCACATTACTTTGTAATTATTTAACTACATTACTTTCTAATTATGCAGAAACTTCGAAAATTTGGTGGTGCTCCCCTTTAAATTCAGTGGCTGAGATGTTAACAAAGTCGTTCAGAGTGGTTTGGTGTGAAATGGTTCACTGTAGAGAAACTTAGTGACTCAGATTTCTTTACAGTGGTGCTGACAGGATCCAGGGGTCACCATGGCTACAACACAAATACAGCCATTTTACTTACTGTCCAAAACCACCAGTGAACCTACACGTGTCTTCTGAGTGTCTGTATGCAATGATGATGGTAAAATAGTGGTCAATCTGAAAAAAAAAGTTTTCTTTGAAGACTATTTTGCCTTAGACCACACTTCCATCATGAATAGATTAAAATACACTAATTAAAATACGTTTTAGACCAAAAACTATAACAAACCTTCTGTAAAACAGTGCCTATCTGTGAGAGGACTGACATTAAACTCTTCAGACGTCTGGTTCCTATCACCACCACTGTGAACAATTCTGACCCGGTAAGTTTCTCTAGAACGGAGCATTTCGCTCTGAATGAGTTTGATGACATGTTAACCACTTAAATATGTAGAATTTTTGAAAAATGGGTGGAGTTCCCCTTTAAATTCACCTGTAGTAGTCCATGGCCTAATGCGAAAAGGTCTCAGTTACTGCCTACAGAGGTGGCCTCAATAAAAGCCGGCAGGCCGCTTCAAATCGAGGTTATTATTGAAATAAAAATGTGAGAAATGTGTACATAAACTCGCTTCGCCTTCAAAATAAACGACAGTCTGCGGTGGATGGTCAGGGCTGCAGCGCTGTACTGCCCTCTAGTGACCGTTTCCTGTAAGTTCAGCCACAACGCAGGGAAGGAGTTAGATTCATAAATACAAGGCCGGAGTTCACCAGCTTCTTTTTCAGTTTTTTTCCGCTCCACCTTAAATGTTGCCGCAGTTACAGCAACAGAGAAGTGTGACTGCTGCACCTTTTAAGGTGGAGCGAAAAATTCTAACAAGAAGTTGGGGAATAATAATCTAACGTTAGCTGGCTAATTTCAGCTTCGGGTTCAATATGCTAAATTATACCGTTTTAAAAAGTGGAGTGGATTAACTTTAGACCTGTGTCTCTAAATCCTGCACTTGGATATATATATATTTAGCATTTCTTAGCATGAATCATTCATGTGACTGGTCATATTTACAGGGGGTTAGCTAACTAACTAGTTAACTGTACATACGTTACAGTACACACTTAAAAAGATGGTTCAGTGGTTCTTTAGGAAAGGGAATGGTTCTATTTAGAACCGTTAGTTCTACATAGAAACATTCGCATGCTTAAATGGTTCTTTGCATGGTGATATTGAGATATGGAACCTTTTTGAAAATGGTTCTATATAGCCATTTTCAAATATAGAACAATGTAAAACACATTTTCCATCAATTTGAAGAACCATTTCACCATGCAAAGAACGCTTTAAGCATGAAATGGTTCTATATAGAACTTTTTACTGAAGAACACTCGAAGAACCATCATTTTTTAAATGTAGGAGCAAAACTTCCTGAGAAACACCAGACTACTATTATAAATTATAACCAATATAAGTCCTTTATGAGGTTAAAACAGATGTGTAGAGCAACGAAACTACAGGAACAGGACTGTGAAACGCTGCTTTAGAGACAAAAACAGTAAACATCCTCGCTTAATAAAAAAAAAAAGTATGTATGTATGACAGGCCTTGTTTACACAGGGTCAGCTAGCTAAGCTAACTGTAAATACGTTACAGTACACACTTAAAAAGATGGTTCAGTGGTTCTTTAGGAAAAGGGAACGGTTCTATTTAGAACCATTAGTTCTATATTGAAACAGCTTCATGCTTAAATGGTTCTTTGCATGGTGAGATTGACATATGGAACCTTTTTGAAAATGGTTCTACATAGCCCCAAAATGGGTTCCTCTGTTGTCACAAGCTTGACATGGTAATGGAAAACAGTAACAGTAGGTCAAAGGGGAATTCCCCCAATTTTTTCAAAATTTCTGCATAATTAAGTGTGTAAGATAAGAGCAAAGTAATTCAGAGTGGTTTGGTGTGAAATGCTCTGTTGTGGAGAAACTGACAGAGTCTGAATTTTTCACAGTGGTGGTGATAGGAACCAGACGTCTGAAGAGCTTAATGCCTCTAAAAGCTCCATCACATAAATGATTATGAATACACTGCCTGATGCCTGAGACACCGTTTTATGAAACATCAGAAGTGAAGAAGCGTTACAGAGGTCACAAAAATGAAACAATAAGGTGCTCTTGGGGCATGGGTGCAGAAAACTCAAAAAAGAAATGCTTCCATGCTGGGAGAGGCAAAAAAACCCAGCACATTTTTGTACTTATTGCCATGTTTCAAAAAAGGCTTTTTATACTTTTTCTATGGACGGTGTGCCCGGGATTTCTTCGCTCTGGAATTTATTTTGCACATGCCTTGTGGATGCGGATGGATACTTTCTGGGGGTTTTTTGCCTCTCCCAGCATGGAACCATTTCTTTACTGTTTTATGAAAGTTTTGCTTTTTGTTTTTGGCCTGAAATGCATTTTTAAAATCCATGTCAACAAACTCATTCAGAGTGGTTTGGTGTGAAATGCTCCGTTCTAGAGAAACCTACCAGGTCAGAATTGTTCACAGTGGTGGTGATAGGAGCCAGATGTCTGAAGAGTTTAATGCCAGCCCTCTCACAGATAGGCATTGTTTTACAGAAGGTTTGTTATAGTTTTTGGTCTAAAACATATTTTAATCAGTTTATTTTAATCTATTCATGATGGAAGTGTGGTCTAAGGCAAAATAGTCTTCAAAGAAAACTTTTTTTTTTCAGATCTACCACTATTATACCATTATAAACATTACATATAAAACTCAGAAGACGTGTGGGTTCACTGGTGATTTTGGATTGTATACAAAATGCTATATTTGAGTTGCAGACATAGTGACCCCCTGGTTCCTATCAGCACCACTGTAAAGAAATCTGACTTGATGTGTTTCTCTGAACCGTTTCACATCAAACCGCTCTGAATAATTTTGCTTACACGTCAACGATTTAATTATGCAGACATTTTGAAAAAATAGGGAATTCTCTTTTAAGTGCAGTTGCTTCTTTACATTTTTAATCTAGCATTTCTTAGCATGAGGTGTTTGCGTCTGTCTTTGTGATGTACATGTAACACATGGTATTTACACAGGGTTAGCTAAGCTGAGTGCAACTACAGTACGGTTTAAACATTTGAAATCAGTGTTTTCAATAAAATAGAACCAGTAGTTGCAGATGCATGTATAAAATGACTGCAGTATGATTTTAGTACTCTACAGCTGCATAGGTTGCAAATTTCACGCAGGAAATTGTAAAAACAGAAAGTGTATCTGTGTCCAGATTGAAAGAGCTGTAGATAATTCAGTAATGACAGAGAAAACTGTACAGCACTTAAAGTGAGTTATAATAAAAATAATGGGCAGAATACCTCACATTCGGACAGTAGTAATCAGTTACATACAATATACAATTACATCCTGTTATTTATCACTTAGTAACCTAATAAAAATAATAATAAGAACAAACATATAAATAATCCATATAGCTTTTATACATTACAATGCAGTCTGTTAAAAGGGCTAGGGCAAATAAAAACCCACGTAAGAGAAAGAAAAACAGAAAATAGAGAAGATAAATCCATTAAATATATTGAGAAAAAAGTAAAAAAAAAATTAAACAATTCTAAAGAGAATAATGTAATAATAAAAATATAGGATTATGATAAATACAATAATAATGAAATGAGAAAAACTAGAAATTGTCAGTAAAGAAAAGTACTTGCGCTTAAAAATATCAAATGATACACGAAGTAAAACTAGAGAAAAGCTGAAAACATTAAATACTGAATAAAATGTCATCTCAAATTACATTTTAACAACGACAATTCTTGTTATGATAGCTTTTTGGAAGGTGCAGGGAAAGTTTAATGAACCTGATAAAAAATTGCATGAGTGACTCAGCAAGACTCGCCAACTCCACCAAAACAAGCTTCGTACCCCATCAACTGCAACCCCCACCCAGACTTCAGGCAGGGGGCGTGTCCCCAGTGGGCGGTGTGAGAGGTGTGAGCCACTTCATTCCAACTTTCTCCAAATTCCTGCAGACTGAGAGTTCAGGTTCCTCAGAGCTCCTCACACTTTCAGCTGAAGCTCCCGTAGAAGCCAGAATGTCTGACAACACCTCTGCTCCCGGCTCTGCTGGAAACCCGGTGAAGTTTAAGAGCCAGGACTACACCTCCATCAGAGATGAGTGTCTCAAGACAAAAACTCTGTTCCTGGACTCGACTTTCACAGCTGACCAGACTTCCATCGGCATGCCGGCAGATCCGGACCCAAAACTGGTCATCAAATGGCTGAGACCCAAGGTAACTGTCTATACATATTTGTGTCTAGTTGAGGACACATTGTGTGATGCTTTTAACAGTTAATCTGTTTTGACACTTTCAAAGAAGTTTTTTCCTTTTATATTTTTCTACAAATCACCAATAAAGTGTACTGAATAAGTTATTGTAGAGTTGCATGAATATAATGTGATTCTGTGGAAAAGAATGTGTAATACAGCTGCAGCCTGCTGTTCTGATCTTCTGATCTAACAGAGATGTTCTTACTGACCACTTATGAGGGTTTGGGGGGGATTTCACAAAGCATTTTCCCACTAAAGCCGGAAAATCTAAGCCAAATGTGAGCACTGTCCAATAGAATAGATGTCCCTAGAACATCTCGTCCATAACAATTTTAAAAGGATCTTTCGCAATCTGCAGCATGACATACAGTCGTATGCAAAAGTTTGGGCACCCCGGTCCAATTGCATGTTGTGTGCTTCTGCACATTTTATTGCACAGTTGCTGTTTATTTTGCTGAAGTGGAAAAATAAAACAAAATGTGGCCTATTATATATTTTATGTTTTACTTTTTTTCTAAGGTGTTAAATTCAGCAAATAAATACAAACTGTGCACTAACATTTTAATTGTGTTCTCTGTAGAGGATGTGTAAACTTATTTTCACTTAGAAAATCAACAACACATAATTTGACCAGGGTCTTCAAACTTTTGCATGTGACTGCATTCATTGTCAATTAAAAAATCTGAAATAAAAAGTCTGATACAAACATTTAGGTGGACGTTAGTGGGTGGAGTGTTGAGAGGCTACTATGGCCACTGTGGTTAACTGAGAAGTCCCACTTATGAAGTGGCCTTCAGTAGAACATGATGCAGGACAAACCTCTCCAATTGAACTTATGTTTTGGCACCTAAAAGGAAATGTCCACCTTGGGGAAAACGTGGGAAGGAAGTGATTAGGGTTAAAACAGTGGAGAGGCCTTGAGGATCATGACAAATGCCCAACACAACATCTGGACTGAAGTGAATAAGGAATAATGAGGGTATTAGAATAGAGTTATAAAACTTTAGAACACAGAAAGTTCTGTTCAGAGTTCTTTCGCTGTCCAGCCAAATATGTTAGTGCAGCCTTGCTTTTCTAGTAAAGTCTTTCCCTCTCATCACAGCTGCGTGTTGAGAGATGAATGAAATATAGTTTGTCTAGAACACAGTGCTACTTTCAGCACAAAACAGCAACAAACAAGAGGATAAGACTACAACAGTAAATAAAACAGTACATAACACAACAGTGAGAAACAAATTAAATTAAGTTAATAATAAATACAGCAAATAAACTATAATGGACTGTGTAATAAGCTGTGCAAACAGAAAATGATACAGTGACCTACAGAGTTAACTATACAAACAATAAAATACAGCGAACAGCACATTAAACTATGCGAACAATAAACTATACAGTGCACTATACAATAAACTAAGAAAACTATGAACTAAACAGTGCACTGTGCAATAAATTAAAACAATAAACTATACAGTGACCTAAACGATATACTAGGAAAATAATAAACTGTACAGCGCACTATACAGTAAACTATCAGTACAATAAACTATACAGTGAACTATATAATAAGCTGTGAAAATAATAAACTATACAGTGACCTACACAATAAACTAAGAAAACTATGAACTATTCAGTGCACTGTGCAATACACTATACAACAATAAACTATACAGTGCACTGTGCAATAAACTATGAAAACAATACACTATAAAGTGTACAGTGCAATAATCTGTAAAAACAATAAACTGTACCATGAACTGTACAATAAACTATAAAACAATAAACTGTACAGTGAACTATACGATAATCAGTGAAAACAATAAACTATACGGTGCACTGCAATAAACTAAAAACAATAAAGTGTACAATGAACTATGAAATCTATGAAAACAATAAACTAAACAGTGCACTGTGCAATAAACTGTGAAAACAATAAACTATACACTGTACTGCTTAATAAACTTTGTAAACAATAAAATATGCAGTGCACTAAACAATAATCTCTACAGTGGACTATACAATGACCTATAAAGACAACAAACTAAATAGTGCACTATATAATGAATTATGCAAACAATAATCTATAAAGTGTATTATTCAATAAAGTATGAGAAGAATAAACTGTACAGCGTAAGGGTGTAACAGTTTCAATACAGTAATAAAAAATAAAAAATGATCGTTCAAACCAGTGTATTGAAATCATCAATACACCAAACGATGTCTTCTGAATGTCTCTCATCCATCTTAGGTGGAAACTAGTGTCAGTGATCAGATCCATGCTTCTGTCTGTTATTCTTGTTTATAGTTCAGTTCACCGTTTTATAAAACCACTGTTTTGCCAGGACAAATGACATTCTGTTTTGTTTTGGAATAAAATGTGTATTTCTTTGGGCCAAGCCAGTCTGTGTGATATATGATTAAATGTTTGTAGAATTAAGTCATTTTCTAACACAAAAGTCAACTCAAATTCAAAAATTCAGATCGAATTTTGAAAAGCGCACCAAACCTAAATATATGTGTATCGTTACATCCCTGCAGTACATTACGCAATAAACTGCAGGCTGTAAGAACCAGACAGCAAACACTAAAACGATAGACAGTGAGGTGGAGGAGACAAATGTACAGTCTCAGCAGCTGTTACTTATTTTGGATGCATTTGTGTGACAGTGTTGTGCGCAGCTATTCTACATTTATGCTTGTTGTCTGTCTGTTTATCCTGTTGTCTTCAGGAAATCAGCAGCAATGCTGTCTTTGTGGAGGGCACCACGGGCACCACTGATATCTGCCAGGGTCAGCTGGGTGAGTCCTTGCCTGAATTAGCGCCGAGATTTGAAGCCCGGCTAATGGGATAAGGCCTTGAAATGGAAAATAAATAAATAAATAAATAACACGCACACGAATGAGTGAAGAATGGCCTCTGGGCATGAGCACAATCACAGAGACATCTGTCTTGGAAGAGCTCCCGTATCATCTTCTTATCATGCAGATTCACCCCTCCACTCTCTCTCTCTCTCTCTCTCTCTCTCTCATTTCCCTCTCTCTCTCTCTCTCTCTCTCTCTCTCTCTCTCTCTCTCATTTCCCTCTCTCCTCCTCTTTGCTTGATCCTGGTTATAATGTTTAATATCCCAATCCCGTTCCGCCCCTCTAGCTGTGAGGGTCTCGGGCCCCTTCTGCAGACGCCCCGCTGAGAGCTGTAAAACAGAGCAGCCTCAGGGCTCTCACATCAAAACTGGAGAAGAGGTGGAGGAGGAGGGAAGAGGGAAAGGGGGGCTTCATCTGCATACGCCTCCTACCCGCCCCCCACCCCCAGCTCAACAATAATAATTATTTTGCACAGCAGGTTTATTCTCTCTCTCTCTCTCACTCTCTCTCATCAGGACTGTCTCCTTCTCTATTCCCTCTTTATCTCCTCTCTCATTCTCTCTGTGTATCTTTTGTTATCTCTCTCTCTCTCTCTCTCTCTCTCTCTCTTTCTCCTTCTTTATCTGCTCTCTGTCTCTCTCCCTCTTTTTCCTCTCCACCGCTCTCATATTCTCTCTCTTCTGTCTCTGTCTTTTTCATCTCTCTCTCTCTTCTCTTTCTCTCACTCCTCCTGCTCACTGCTCCTCTGTTCCTCTTTTTGTCTTTCTCTCACTCTACCTCTCTTTTCTTCTTCCTTTTCACCCCTTTTATCTTGTTTCTTGTGCTTTTCTCCATCTTTATCTCCTTCATTCTCTCTATATCTCTTTGTCCCTTGCTTCCTTCTCTCTCTCCCTCTCCCTTCTCTGTTCCTCTTTTCCTCTCTCTCTCTCTCACTCTCTCTCTCTCTCTCTCTCTCTCTCTCTCTCTCTGTCTCACTGTTTATCTTCTGTTTCTTCTTCTGTATATTCCCCATTCTCTTCTCTTTCTCTCTCTCTCTTTCTACATTCCTCTTCTCTTTCTCCGTTTTCTCTCGCTCTCTCTCTCTCTTCATCGTCTGCCTCTTCATCATCCTCTCATTCTCTCTCTCTGTCTGTCTCTCTCTCAGGTTTTGATTGGTGTTTGGCATTCAGGTCCTGGTTTTAGATGTTCACCACTAAAGCTCTCATCTGGAGCGTCCAAGGCTGGACAAAATGCACACAATAAAAAGAAAATCTGTCGTTTGTTAGAGGATCCATTGACATATTGCAGTCTTCTGTGATATCAGTATTGCAAAGGCTATTTTTCACAGTAACAATTAACAAATGACATGCTGAGGGGTCTACCGCAGCCCGCCTGTTTCTTTGTACTTCATGTCTCAAATGCTTTAATCTCAACTCTTTTTCCCCATTTGCTGCAGTAGCAGCCTCTACTCTTCCAGGAAGGCTTTATACTAGATGTTGGAACATTGCTGTGAGGATTTGATTGAAGCCACAAGATCATTAGTGAGGTCAGTGAGCTGGATCACAAATGCCACTCCAGCTCATCCCAAAGTATTGGATGGAGCCAGTGGGCACAATAACCCCTGGTATTTGGAGGGTCCCATGTTGGCTGGCTACTCCATTGGTGGCCGGCTGCTAACTGATTCACTGTAGCGGCACTGATGATAGCAGAGTTTTGATTTTGAGATATTCAGGGTGTCTGTACGGCTAATTAGTGAGTGTTGGACCCCCCAGGATCCCCTGTATTTTGCACCTGGGATAGAGCTCCACCACTGCTCCACAGTCCAATGTTGGGAGGCTTTATATGTTTATGCTCCTATAGCCGACGTTTGGCATCGGGCATGGTCACCTTAGGCTGCTCCAGAGAGTCCAGATCTGTTGGTCAGTGCTTTTCTACAGAGAATATGCTAGCTGTGTGCACAGTTGAACACCTGAATTTCTGTGAACTATGATATATTCTGTGTGCTGATATATGGTGTGATTTATGATCTTAGCCAGCACAGTTACAGCCACGTTATACCGACTCACCATATCTATTTGCCTTTGATACTTGTGGAAAAGATTCATGCCGGTTTTTGACACTTCAGGGGCGAAACGTATTTCTGTCAGACTAAAAGGTTTTGATGTGTGTTGGGGTTTGCGTAAGCAGTTTTGAAATTGTTTTAAATGGTATTTCACAAATTGTCTTCAATGAGGAAAGTGTGAGTATGAGACTGGGTTTTGGGAAAAAAAACGTGCTGTGGTTTTGAACATGTTCAGCTGAGCTGTTGACAAAAGCAGAAAGCCTCTTCAGTAAACCCCCCACAGAAGATGAACAGCTGTTTACTGTTACAGAGGAATGTGTTTGCAACAGTGAATCATCACAGGGACAGTTTGTTAGCAGTTTTCTTTTTTTTTTTTATTTATGTACATGCCAGCTGTCTTTTACATTGTCTGTGCGTTTCTTTTCAAATAAGTACAAGTTATTAAATTGTACATTAATTTGTACGTCTGTTTCACTGAGAATTACACAGAAGCCTCAACAACTAAATAGAATATTACATTTTTCACTGTTTAATGTATCCACATTACAGCTTCCAGTGTTTTCAGGAGACTTGCTTTTAGTTTTTCAAAGAAATGTGCAAGATATTTTTCTACACCCCCAAAGTTCAGTCTTAGAAGTTGCTTTCTCTGCTTTTCATGATCCAAGTAATCCAAACACATTCAGTGATATTCAGGTGTGGGCTCAGCATCCATTGTTCTGAGAACATATCTATTCCCTTTTCTCAGTGAGGGCTTCTTGACAGTTGTACATCTTTTCAGACTCATAGAGCTGAGTACTTTGTTTTTTCATTTATTTGTATATCATACAAGTGGATTATTTTATATATCGTCACTGTCCAAAGAAAACCATCTCCATTTTAAGCAATTTTTATTTTTCTACATCATTTCAAAACACCAGCTGTCTTTTACCTGTGTAAAAATGATGACTGCACCAATAGAATTGCTCTAAAATCACTTGGAATAAAACCTCTTTACATTAACTTACATTGAAAGGTAAGAGTGTTTTTGCTCTCTCCTGTAAAGTTACTATTAAGGACATACTTGTTTTTCTTTGGACAGCGATGATATAATCTCTTCCGAAATATCTCCTGAAATACATAATAATTTGTGTCAGTGTAGACAAAATGTGATAAATGATGATGCTCTCTGACTTTTGCACAGAGCTGCAGGTTAAAGCTAAGAACAGTTTTCCCTCTTTTGTAAAGTTACTTACTGATGAGCATATTCTTACCTGTGTGTGTTGTAGGTAACTGCTGGCTACTGGCTTCACTGTCCTGTCTCACTATGCACCCCACTCTGTTTGAGAAGGTGGTCCCAGCTGGACAGACCTTGGCGGCCCCCTATGCTGGAATCTTCCTCTTCAGGGTAAAGTGGATTAACTCCTGCTGATGATGGAAAATCACAGGTGGAAGTTAAAGGAATACTTTTTTTCAGCCTAAACTATCCATGGTGTCTATAACGTTGGTGATTACAGATAATAATGTTCCCACTTTTAGCAAAGACCACAAAATTGAAACACAGGTATAATACAACCCAGTGGGCGAGTGCTGAAGCAGCTGAATCTGGAACATGTCTAGATTGTTGTCTATGGTAATTAACTGTGCGTTACAGATGCAGCATGATAGACACTAGGTTGAAAACACTGGAGGTTTCCTTTGAGGTGTCCACTTATCACTTTTGTGTGGGGTATTTTGCACCTAAAAAAGGCCTAATTAATTTTTATATGGTCATTTACCAACCTCTGTTTAGTTATAATTATAATTATTGTTTAATTATAATTAAACAGGCTTTTTTTGTTACTGTACATTTATGACTCATGTAAATGATCTCTGTTCTGATTGGCTTATGTCTGGGCTAAAACACTCTTAATAACTTCAGCATTAGTGGGTAGGCTAACCTGCTGGAAGATGAATAAGCAGCTGTATGTAAATAGGTTGGTTTTCATAACTTAAAAAAAACAGTAAGCTGGTTTTGCAACTTAGTTTGCGTTTATGGACTGTATGGATTGGACAGTGAAGTACACTTTAAAACGTTGAACTTATTTTCAAAAAAGTAAGGAAAATTAGCTTCTCCATTAAAGTGGAGAATACACTTGTAAACTATTTTACTTGTGCGGTCAAAAAATACCATATAAGTGCTGTCATAAGAAAACCTCATAACATAATGCACCAATAGGAATAATCTTAAAAACTACTTGGAATAAAATAAAATCCACTGTCTGTATTAACAGATGTTAAGTATGCTTTTCCTTCTCCTATAAAGTTACCATTTTAAAGGTACTGTTTTTGGAGATTTGGAGATACAAGGAGATTAGATAAGAAACCCTCATAAATGAATTCCTTTCTTCATTTGAACTAGCTTCATTTAAACCAGCTGCTCTTTATTTTGTGTGAAGGTTTTATGACGAATGGACCAGTAGAGATGTTCCATAATTAGGAATTTAAACTGGCTGTACTAACAGATGCTAAAGGGCCCGTATCATAGAAAACTAAATTTTCTTCACTTTTGTGAAATAAAAGACTTCAAAATCTACTCATCACAGTCCATGAAGTCTATGTATGTAAACTAAGCTGCAAAACAGCTCATTTTGAAATCACTATTTTTGTGATGTCATGAAAACCAACGTGTGTACACAAATCCTCCCATTCAGGCTACAGCAGGTTAGCGCCACTCATTCATTTACATGTTATAAATTGTCTTTCAGCCTGGCTGTGCCTTTTGCATGAGGCACATTACAGAGCAGCCAATAAGAACAGGTATTATTTACATATATCAGTCTTAAAGGAAAAGTGGTGACACTTTATTTTGAGTGGTCCTTTTTAGATGAAACAAACACTCGATGGACTCTCAGTAACATGTCAAAAACATAGGGTCAGGATTAGGTTTTGGGTTGAGGTTAAGGTCAGGGTACGGATTAGGGCCAGGGTTAGTGTTAGGTTCTGGGTAAGGCTGAGTAAGGTTAGGTTTTGCGTAAGGGAAGTAACATATTAACTATATAACCTACTTAATGTAAGGAATGTATCAACAGAACATCTTCAAGATATTTACTTCAATATATTCAGATGCTTCACTACTGCTACTTCACTGATGTGTTGTTGACGTGTTACTGATAATCTGTTAAGAGTTTATTAATCATCTACAAAGGACCTCCTATAAAGTTACCATTCTAGAGATTCAAGGTTTTCTTATCCCCTGATGATATGAGTATGCAAAGAGAACATATAATAAATATTAAAGTCGACTCGAAGAGACAGAAGGTGTCACACGTCATAAATTTTACATTAAGGACCCAATTTATGATCCGAGTTGAGGTTGCGGCTGGGGTGGGGGTGCATTTCTTGTGTGAGTTTTTGTTGAAGGTGGTAATTATCGTCTGTCCTCCCTCCTCTGTGTAGAGATCATTCCAGACACCAACCCCCAACTTCCCACCGACCCCTGCTGTCGAAGTGACACATACAAATCCCCTGCCCCTGTCAACACACCTCTCACACTCGCAACACATGATGCCAAAAAGAATTCTTTTGAGAGATGCCAGAGAAAAACGCTTTAGGTTCCCTAAAGAACCTTTCAGTAGATGATTATTTAAAGAAGCGTCTTTGTAAACGAGATGTGTGAGTGTGAAGAAACATTTTGAAGGGCCCGTATCATACAAATGTCTTTCATTTTATTATTCTTTGCCATTTTTGTGGGCTTATGTGCCAAAAAATGTAATTCATTTTTACATAACCATTTGCCTTTAAGACTGTTCTATGTAAATGACCTCTGTTCTGTATATGTACAGCCATTGGTTTTGTAATGTCATGAAATGCATACAAAACAAAATGGGCTGTTTTTGTAGCCTAGTTTCCACGCATGGACTGTATCGACTTGGAAGTGAGTGGTTAGTTATGCATACGGTTGCATGCAAAAGTTTGGGCACCCTTGGCCAGATTACATATTTTGTTAATTTTCTAAGTGAATATAAATTCTCTACAGAGAACACATTTCTACACATTTGCTGAATTTAACCCTTGTGTGGTGTTCAGGTCTGTGGGACCCATTTTCAGTGTTTACCAAAAGAAAAAATGATGCAGTTTATTATTATTCCAACCTCAGATTCCTTGGTCTTTCCTCATTTTCTGTGAAGAACATATAAAATAACACACTTTCAATGACTCTACACTGTTCACCCCCTACACATTTATATTACACATGTGGTGTTGGGTGAACCCACAGGGAATAAAAGTGTGGAGGTGCTGTGTCCTTCACTCTGTTCTCCTCCTACATGGCCTGCTGTTAGTGTGTGTGTCTGTGTGTGTATGTGTTTGTATATGTGTGTACATGTGTGAGGGTGGACAACATAGACAGGCTGCTGACTGGCTACAGCTGCTAAAGGAGAACCCTACGCTGGCCACTTGTGATATTTTAAACATCTGGTATTTTTACATAAATTGTTATGGCTGTATTGATTTAAAAAAACAATAATGTGGTGGATCCACCAGACCACTGAGTAACAACAACATCAACACCACACAAGGGTTAAACTCAGCAAATGAATAGAAATTGTGCACTAAAATGTCCAGAAAAATGTGTTTAAGTTTGTTCCCAGTAGAGGATGTGTTAATTAATTTTTTTTACTTAGAAAATCAACAAAACATGTAATTTTCACCAAGAGCATTCAAACTTTTGCATGTGATCGTGTATAGGTGCCGTTTTTGCACTATTTTTTTCTCGGTCACATATTATTATGATTATTTTTGCCATTATTTAGCCATTATTTAGCCATTATTTAGATTATTCAGCCATTTCCCGCTGTCCATTATGAGAGCAATTACCAGTACAGCGTCATTATGTAACTGCTGTGTTTGCCTCCGGCCTGGCATTTCCATTTAGGCAGTAAACACTCTGAAACATGTGTCCTCATTTAAGCGCTTTATGAGCATGTAAAGGCAGATCAGCTCTGTTTCTGCCCTCCCCTGCAGCTCCATACGAAGTGCGCTTTCTATGACGCCAGTCCTGCAGTAAAACAGTAGGAAACCTCCAGGAAAGTGAGCTGTTCCAGCTTGTACAATTCTGTTTATTTCTGCATTGTGTGAATGTTTTATGACAAATGGACCAGTAGAGATGTTCCTTAATTAGGAATTTAAACTGGCTGTACTAACAGATGTTAAAGGGCCCGTATCATAGAAAACTAAATTTTCTTCACTTTTGTGAAATAAAAGACTTCAAAATCTACTCATCACAGTCCATGAAGTCTATGTATGTAAACTAAGCTGCAAGAACAGCCCAATACTAGAGAATTTAATTGCTAAGCTGAGTGGAGTATCTGAGAGATCTGAGGGGAGGTTTGAAAAGTATTGTCTGTTTTCTCATTTTCTCTATTTGCATAAATATTAATTAAAGAGTAATTACCGATCCTGAGGGAGGTTTTTGGTGGCTTGTGTAAACTGAGATGAGTCTAGATAAACTCTGAAAGCAGACATCAAAGCATAGCTGAGACAGTGACCGGCCATTATCTTCCCATCTGTTGTGTGAGTAGTCAGAGTGAGTTACGGTGAGATGTGGGTCCCTCTTATTAAGAGAGAGGGTTTAAGAAGAGAGAGGAGAGAAAGATCTTTAAACAAGGGGAAAAGAGATGGCAGCCTGTTGTTTATGTTTGTTAACTGATGGCGTTTGAAGTGTCCTGACATGCAGCCCCTGCCCGAGGGTGTGAATACACACTGCATTCCCAGCCATGTTCATATGTTGCTGCCAGCAGGTCAGCACAAGCCTGGTATTCCTGTGCTTAAACGAAGACGTCCCCTGACCTGTGCTTTTAATGATATTTAGGTATTTAGAAATGTAGGACATTAGCCATAAAGCTAATGTAAGTGGCTTGCAAACCTGTTGTCAGAGAGCCTGAAACCATCTTATATCTAGTCAATATATCTAATATTTGTAAGATTAACAAGAATTAACACGCAAAGTAATTAACCATGATAATTACTTAACAAGGTTACAGTTTGTTACTTGTTACTATACAGACAATATATATAATACTTGAAATAAAAAATATAAGATAAAAAATATAAACTCCATCCTTCACATAAACTCTATTCACAGAAATTAACAATATAAATAATCATAAATAAAAAAACAAGAAATATTTACACTGTAAGGATATTTTACCCGAACTGCACATGGAGTATTGTTTATATTACACCTGGGAATTGTGACGAATATATAATAATATTATACGATTGTTTAACTTATTTCTAGGCATGTTTACTTGTTTTAAGGTATTTTATCTGGGGAAATTGTGTTCTTATACTGGCTGATAATTTTGCTTATTTCAAGCATTATTTGTACAAATAAGCAAAAATATTTGTCTTAAAACAAGAAATTTAAAAATGATCTGCTGGTAAATTTCTCTAGATAAAATTACATTAAAAATGTTTTTAAAAATCTAGAAAGAAGTTGTTATAACAATCTCAATTCAAGATGTTTTCACTCAAGATATCATTTTTTTGCAGTGGTGTTGCTTGTGGTCAAGAACCGCCTACTTGAAAGGAAAGAGCGGTTTGACTGACATGAAAACTGACCAATCACAAATCGTTATTTTTGTACAACATGTATAGGAAGACGATTTTTAAAATGGGGCTACAACAAAAACACCCACAGGAAACAAAATACTACTAAATACCTTAAAGAAGACTCTTGAAGTTGTGATGCTGTGAACTTCAAAACATTTTTTTCAAGTCATCCTTTATTTCGTTGCTAATGCCAGCTGCTCTTTACATTGTGCGACAATTTTATGATGAATAGGTCAATAGAAATAGTCCAAAATGACTTCGAATAAAATTGCATTATAAAATATCCTGTTAAAAGTTAAGAAAGTTTTTTCCTTTCTCTGTACAGCCATGATATCTTGGTATGAAAGACTCAGCATGGAAGGAAACTGCTTTCAAAAGTGTCTTTCCTATCAGGCAGATTAAAACTGGTGCACGGAAGTGTGTAAACATGGACATGTGCGTAGCTGCAACATAGACTCCTATTATATTAAACTCCAGCGCAAAACTAAAGGAGCAGACTTTGCACACCAAGCATGTCTTGGCCATTTGACTACACTTGGGATAAGAGGAAAGCTGAGTTGATCTGATTTTTGGTGAACCAATCTGTGGAAGCCCTGAACGGTAAAGAGTCCTGAGTCTCAGTTCCACTATATTTGTTTTTTTTTCTGCCTGTATAACATACCAAAAACAGTCAAAAGCATAAAAAATGTTTTTCTCCTTCACAATTATTTTTCTTTTCACTAATGTCTGAAAAAAAATACTGACTAACACTTAGCACGTTACTCCATCTTAGACCAGCAGGGGGCTGGCTGTTTGTTGTTGTTTTGTCAATAAATTTGAAATGACCCTTCGGGGTTTCTGGACCAATCCTCTAACTTTAGACTAATCTCATCATTATTGTTATGTATTAGACTATTGGTCCACTTGTCTTATACATAATGCTGATGATAACACAACAATTCTTGACCTTTGTTTTACTCTGTATAGAATTAATCATCTCTCTTTCTCTCTCTGTCTCTCTCGCTCTCTGTCTCTCTCTCTCTCTCTCTCTCTCTCTCGCTGTCTGTCTGTCTCTCTCTCTCTCTGTGTCTCTCTCTCTCAGTTCTGGCAGTATGGTGAGTGGGTGGAGGTGGTGGTGGATGACAGGCTGCCCGTGCAAGGAGGCCGTCTGCTCTTCAGCTACTCCCGCACCAGCAACGAGTTCTGGAGCGCCCTGGTGGAGAAGGCTTACGCCAAGTCAGTCCCAGCATATGTGTGTATGACTGTGTGTGAGTGTGTGGGATAAGGAGCAGCAGAGCCAGAGCTTCACGCTGCTTCATCAGGATGTTTTTACAGATCAATTAGACGTAAACAGATTACTGTTGAGCTCCTACTCTGTTTCTGCACGTCATTGAAATGCTGAATGAATAATGGACATTCTAAACTCTGCACACAAGTCATTTAAAGCAGTCTGTGCTACTAATCATGTATGAGGAATCCAGTACGTATCTGTCTATCTTGATAGATTAGAAAAATGTTTTATAACCCTTTGTACTGCTTTCCTAGAGCCAGATTTAGCTTATTGCTGTAATTACAGTGGTAAATGTAGAGTATAGGTCATTGAATATCACTTGTAGTCAACATCAGTGGTTTCTTTGTATTAACATCCAACAAATCTTCTCATTTGGATTTTGAATTTGGAGGTAAAATAGTTGTGTTTAAATATTTGTTGTGTTCTTTTCATGTCGAAGGTTCAAACAACGGAGCAAATGTTACAAACTTTGGGCACTGATCATGCAGACAGCACCTGCCTTCTGATTGGTTTAATGCACCACTTTGGCCGGATTCGTTTCTTTTCTGATGCAGCGCATCCCCCACATTCAACCCACCTGTCCCATCTTAGTATCGTCCCTTAATGTAGAGTTGCGTAAAGCTTTTTAAGTTGAAAAAAAGGCAAGAGGGTGGAAGAACTTGGCACCTTTGGATTCATCCTGGATTGTACGAGAGATTTTGTAACATTTTCATTGCCATCAGAGGACTTTCCTTTTAACAGTCAGTTTGGGCTTCGAAGTGAGAGGGCCTAGGCCAGGGGTCGGCAACCTCAATGTTAAAAAGAGGCATTTTGTTACAAAAATCAAACCACCTTGGGATCCACAACATTTTATGTCCATTTTAAGATCTTGGCTGTAAATATGTCTCAGCATGTGCTAATGTCTTAGTATAGGCTAAAGAATAAAAATAAATGCAGATAAAAATAAACTCTGCTTTAAGCTTTAGCTCAGCTATAGCCACTTTTCTCGCATCTCCGACAGGAAACATTTAGTAGAATAGTTTCTTGTAAAATGTCTCTTAATGTTCGACTTTTTACATGGTTGAAGTCAGCTTCTTAATCGACAGCTTCTTGTTCGAATTTTCCCATTTCACCTTAACTGTTGCCTGAGGTGCCACAATGTAGCTGCTGCACCATTTAAGGTGGAATGGGAAAATTCGAACAAGAAGCTGGCGAATGGGAAGCGTCACAACTTTTTAGTGTTGAACAGTTTCTCGTAGAAGCTTAAATGTATCAGGAAACCAGCTGGAGTGATTATAAATGCAAATAAGTCTCCAAGTTATCAATGTTCGTCTTAAATCTTTCTCTTTGCCGTTTTGTTAGCTACTAGCTAGGCAAGACTGTTGTCTGCATTGTTATAGTGACCAGCAGTCTGCACACTAACCTTCAGGGTTAAAAGGTGAAGCTGATATAGGGGATATAGCAGATATCGGCTACATTAACTCCAGCGTCTAAGACCATTTATTGTTAAAACTGTGTTGAACGATCAGCAGAGCTTTATTTTACTGTAAAGGAGGATTATTTTATTTTTACCTAAAAATCTAATTCTGCTGTGGAGCCACAACAGGACAGTAAAAGAGCCACATGTTGCCGTCCCCTGGCCTAGGCCCTTCCAGACCCATACACTCTGGTCTACGAAGCTAGCCCTTTAAACTTGTTTGTGTGTCTGCAATCTAAGGCTTATTATTCAGTAACTGCATAGAAAACAATGAAAAATGATTGACTTATTATTAAGTTATAACAGGGACCAATGGCTTTTTGAACGTGCTAAGTTTAAAATGCATTTTATTGGAGTAAATATATCTAAAACAGCAGTCACCACCCGTTTTTTTGGAGATCTACCTTTAAACCCACCTGTAATTCACCTCATTCAGCTAATGAAGGACTCCTGATAGCAGTTATTATGTGAATCAAGTGGGGTCGATTAGTGTTGTCTGCAGGAAGGTAGATCTCCAGGAACAGCGTTGGTGACCACTGTTCTATAATATCTAGGCAACTCTGCGCACTTTAGATGTAAGGGAACACAGTACATGTGTGTGTATGCTCGTCCAGGTTGATTGGCTCCTACGGCAGTCTGAAGGGGGGTAATATTTCTGAGGGAATGGAGGATTTTACAGGAGGAATCGCCTACACTCGTCCCGTCTCCTCCCGCACCCCTCCTGTGCTCTGGAGAACTCTCACTGCTGCTCTGTCCAGAGGAAGCCTGCTCAGCTGCTTCATTCAGGTACACACTTCTTGCATACACATGCATGTGCACATTCACTCATAAACACCATCATCAGAGTCTGTTGCCGCTGTCGCATCACAACCTCAAAAATGTTATTATCATTGAATGGAAGTTAATGGAACAGTATTTGTTTCCAAGTGATTTTGGAACATTTCTATTCCTCTATTCATCGTGAAACTTTAAATTCGAGTTGCAGTTTTCAAATTCTATTAAAAAAGTGATAAATGAAAATGCAAGGTTTTATTCCAACAGCGACAAATGCTAACCTCTGTGTTTAGTGATTCCTATTGATCATGTTCCAGTGATTTGCTACCTGCTTGATGGTGGTTTGTGCATGTGAGAGCTGTGGTAGAGACAGGGAGAAGGAGGAAGCCTGTCTCCAGGGATGTTTAGGCAAGAAACTAAAAAGGAGAAATTCCCTAAGAGCATGAGGAACCAAGACTCAAAAAAGGGGAACTCATCCTTCTCTGGGCTGCACTGGATCGGCATGTTTCACTGACAAGAGCTTCACTTAAACAGAATATGGATAAACAGGGAGCGAGAAAGTTCACATGAGCTTTCAAATCAAAAGGGATGCACTGATCCGGCTTTTTCCCTCCCAGTTCATGATTCCAAAGCCTGAACTTGGCTGATACAGAGTACTGATCCGATGCCAGTGTCTGTTAAAGCACTTGTGTTTTGTAGTACCAAAGTACATGAAGTCTGGCATCACCATGGGGCAGGACTATAGAACTTAACACTTATTTTGGGACAGGTCAAGTCATGATGGCTGGTCAATTTGTGTGTTTTTTCTGAGTGCAGGCCAAAAACGTCAAGGAGATTGGTACAGTGACAGCAGAGGGGCTGGTCAAAGGTCACGCCTACGCCATCACCGCTACAGATAAGGTAACACACCTGGCTATGTACATATACACACTGTGATGGCTGGCTCCTTGTATTTACACTCATTGTCCATTTTATCAGCTCTACTTACTTTATAGGTGCACTTTATAGTTCTACAGTTACAGACTGTAGTCCATCTGTTTCTCTGCATACTTTGTTAGCCCACTTTTGCCATGTTCTTCATTGGGCAGGACCCCCATGGACCCCCACAGAGCAGTTATTATTTGCAGTGACACTGACATGGTGGTGGTGTGTTAGTGTGTGTTGTGCTAGTCTGAGTGGATCAGACACAGCAGTGCTGCTGGAGTTTTTAAACACCTCAGTGTCACTGCTGGACTGAGAATAGTCCACCAACCAAAAACACCCAGCCAACAGCGTCCTGTGGGCAGTGTCCTGTGACCACTGATGAAGGTCTAGAGGATGACTTCACATCTACAAGGTGGACCAACAAGATGGGAGTGTCTAGTGAGTGGACACAGTGTTTAAAAACTCCAGCAGCACTGCTGTGTCTGATCCACTCATACCAGCACAACACACACTTAAACACCACCACCACTTCAGTCTCATTGCAGTGCTGAGAATGAAGAAAAGGGTAAAAGGAGCTAACAGAGTGATCAGAGAAACAGATGGACTACAATCTGTAATTGAAAAACTACAAAGTGCTTCTATATAGTAAGTTGAGCTGATAAAATGGACAATGAGCGTAGAAACAAAGAGGTAGTTTTAATGAAGTGGGCGGTAGGTGTATATATGTCTGGGTGTGTTTAGGTCCATAGGAAGGCTGAGGAGGTGCTGCTGGTGCGGCTGCGGAACCCTTGGGGATTTGTGGAGTTCTGCGGACCCTGGAGTGATAAGTGAGAAACACCTCCGTTCTCATTTTAGCATTACTGACTTGCTACTGACTGTCCAGCTGTCTGTGTGCTTGTCTTTTTGTATACTTTTAAGAAAAAATATTGTCATAACTTTGTAGAAGAAAAACAAGAGCAACCTACCTTACCAGGGCTAACAATTTTTCTGTTACAAAATGTAACGTAGGAGGAGATGAAGCAGGATGTGCGACTGAGAAATAAAGAGGGAATAAAGAAAATAAGAAAACAACGAGGAGCAAAACTAAACTATGGACAGTGGAAAAATAATAAAACAAGGATAGAACAACATAATTTGCTAATGAACAAGAGAAGAAATATCAAGGCAACAGAGTTACAACTGAGCAAACAACAAACAATGCCCAGCAAGACACAAGGCAAAAACAAGAAAGAGACAAGAGAGAAGGTAAACAAAAGAGGAAAACAGATAAGACAAGGGCAAGGCAGGACAGGATGTTACACAAACGCACCATGTTTCAAAACCAAGTTACTTTTTCGATGATACACGTTTTTATCCAGTGATGATATATATATTAAATGATAAGATATGTTATATGATAAAAGCATGGGTCTGGAAACTCACTCGGGTAGAAATGGAAGTATGAATATACTACAAATATACTTGAGTGAAAGTCAAAAAGGACATTGAACAACATTTAAACTTACTCAAGTATATAAAAATTGAAAAATTGAAAACTTACTCAAGTATATAAAAATTGAAAAATTGAAAACTTACTCAAGTATATAAAAATTAACAACAAATTAGAGGTTTTCTGTGTTTGGTGGCGTCGGACATGGACAGATCATTAGCTCAGTTATGGCCAGTTTTATTTTACACTGATATGAATTAGTTTGGATGTTTTAATAAAAAGTGCAAGTGCAGAAGAACTCAACTGATTGGCAAGAGAAAAAGAAAGAAATATCCTGGCCTGAAATTTGTAATAAATACCTTGAAGATGAAAATGTAAATACTAAAAAGTATGTTTTTCTTTCTTTAAAATATAATGGAGTAGAAGTGTTCAGTTTCAGTAATACTCAAGTAAAGTACAAATATTCCAAAATAATGCTTAAGTACAGCAATGAAGTGTAATAACAAAACCCCTGGACCACTATTTCACGTTTACTGTGAGCCTGTAATGCTGACAAGGTATACAATTATATGTAAAAGACCAATGGTCAAATGACATGTTTTGTAGATTTCCTAAGAGAAAATAACATATTAAAACATATTTAATATAAAATATAATCTTTAATATATATATATATATGTGTGTGTGTATATATATATTTAGTTCACATTCTATGTTTTATTCATTCTTTCAAGTATGTTAAAGCAAATAAACAATAATTGTGCTTTAAAATGTGCAAAAGTGTGTTCTCTGTAGAGGATGTGTTAACTTATTTTCACTTAGAAAATCAGGAAAACATCATTTGACCAAGGGCACCCACAGTGTTGCAGTGTATGAATGTATGTTCCTGTGTTAGGTGCAAAGACTGGGATGGCATAGACAGTGCAGAAAAGACCAGAATTCACCTGAACATTGAAGAGGATGGAGAATTTTGGTAGGTATAGGTGTGCTCATAAACTGCAACCAACAAGCCACACTATGCTATAAAAATGTAATAATATTGAATGTGTGTGTAGGATTGGGGTGGAGGATTTTTGTAGGATGTTTGATACAGTGGAGCTGTGCAGCGTGAATCCTGACTCTGATGCTGGGGAGGATGGTGATGCTGCTGGTGCCTCTGATTGGTCCTTGACCTCCCACAAGGGATCATGGGTCCCTATGTGCTCTGCAGGGGGCAGCCGAAAATACCCACGTGAGTATGTGTGTGAATTGGTGTGCTAAATATAATACCCAGCTATGAGGCTAATGTAGCTAACGAGTAATAGAAGCTTATAGTCAACTGTGAGCGTTATGAGCATCCCTTTATGACATACTGTATAAAAGTTAAAGCTAAAACTGTACTTCTGTCCATTTTTATAGATAAGTGTGCCATACAGTAAGCAAATCTGTCTAAGATTACTTAAAAGCAGCACTTTTTAAAGATTGTTTTTGCTAAAATTGAAAGAGGTAGTATTAAAGTTTCAGGTGAAAAAACAGACATGTTAAAATATGGCGTGTATGTGTGGTGCTGTGAGTCGTCTTGTAAAGCCTGACATTATTATTTAAAAGTCAGAGGCATCAGGTCAGATTTCATGGGAGTTTTTGAGCACATCTTATGTGTTTATGTATTAATTTCATGCACACAGACTCGAAAAAGAAGGTCCAGCTTGATGTGTAGGTCTCAAATCATCTTTATACTAATGAAGATATGACAATAATGGTGGTTAATTCACTCACATCCTCGAAAGACACGTCCTCCACGCTGGGGTTCATGTAGCCTATAACTGCTAATTCACACTTTAACCCTGAAGGTTGGCGCACAGACTGCTGGTCACTATAGCAACGCAGACAATTTGCGTTTATAATCACTCCAGCTGGTTTTCTGATATGTTTAATTTGCAACGAGAAACTGTCAAACACAGAAAAGTCGCGAAGCTGACTTTGTCCAGCTTCTGGTTCGAATTTTCCTGTTCCACCTTAAATGGTGCAACGGTTACATTGTGGCACCTCAGGCACCATTTAAGGTGGAAAGGGGGGAAATTTGAACAAGAAGCTGGCGAATGAGAAGTGACTTGAGCCTTGTAAAAAGTCGAACGTTAAGAGACGTTTTACAAGAAACTATTCCACTTTTGCGGAAAAGTTTCCTGCCAGAGATGCAAAAAATGAGACTGTAGCTGAGCTAAAGCTTAAAGCAGAGCAAAGTAAGTCTGCGTTTTCATTTATATTATATTTTTAGCCTACACTAGGACATCAGCACATACTGAGGCATATTTATAGCCAAAACAGTAAAATGGACAAAATGTTGTGGCTCCCAAGGTGGTTTGATTTTTGTTAAAAGGACAAAATCGCTCTTCTTAACATTTTGGTTGCTGACCCCTGGTATAGTGGACGAAACTGTGTAAATATAGCTGGTTTTTAGCTGAAGCATTGCCACTGTCCTCTTTAATTCTACAGGAACGTTCTGGAAGAACCCTCAGTTCCACCTGGTGCTGTCTCAGCAGGACGTGGAGGATGTGGAGGTAGACGAAGATGATGCAGATGTCGGTGACGATGATAATGATGCTGGTGACGCAGCCAGAAAGAGTGGGACAGAGAAGCATAAGGAGAAGATGAAGAAGTGCACAGTGCTGGTGGAGCTGCTGCAGAAGGACCGCAGACAGAAAGACAAAATCAACTTCTTCTACATCGCCTTCCACATCTTCAAAGTGAGAGTCAGAGAAGCTCTACCTCATTATTATTAAAGGCCTAATCAGTTACAGCAGTATGATAAAGACCTGAAGGAATACATTCTTTAAAATAAAGGTTCCTATATGGTTCTGGGTTAGGCCAAACGGTTCTAGAAAAAAACTTTAATTGGTGTAGAGCCCTTATCATGTGCAGGTTCTTTAAACTTTGATAAGGTTCTTCACACTCGCTTAAAGAAATCTCATTAACAAATGTGTCTTTAAAGAAGCAGCCGTTTTTAGAGAACCAAAAGTGATTCTTTAGTGTTTGAGGTTCTATAGCATTGGCATAGCGTTGCTTAGTATAGTGGGTAACACTGCTGCTCTTCAGGGTTTGATTCCCAGGGCAAGCACACCACGCTAAACAAATAAGAGTCCTTCGGCAAGACTTTTAACGTTACATTTGCCCATCCTACCTCAACGTGATGACATTTGTAAGTCACCATTTTTAAACCTGTCCTCAGGGACCCCCAGTGGGCCACATTTTTGCTCTACCCCTGTGCATTGTGAATGGAGCAAAAATGTGGACCATCTGGTGGTCCCTAACGACAGGTTTGAGAACCATTGCATTGCTCTAGAGAACCCTTTTTTGGAACATTTATTTCTCTAAGGCAGGGCACAACAGAAATGACGATTTTGGTCTTAATCAATCAGTTTTTGTTATGTTTGGATAAATTGCATCTATGACATTTTCTCTGAGATGTCTTCTCGTAAACTGTGATCATAGAAAGTGTCAAAACTGTCAGTTTGCATTCACTTGTTCATGGTCTTTCATGTGTCACTGATAATAACAGGGCATAGTGTTTCCTCGATTATGAGATTCCAACAAAAGGCTAGATTTTGGTTATAAAACATGCGTAAATGTCTCCTTTGCATATCTAAATGTAGTTCTTTCTGGAAAACTTTAAATACAAAAAATACTAATAAGAATATCTGCAATCTACGAAAGGTTTGTTGTGATATCTATTTTAAAAAATACAGTATTTGCCTGTAGTGTCTTGCCTTAAAAAGAAAAAAACTGATTCACATTCACAAACTCATTAAGTATATTCTCTCTCTCTCTCTCTCTCTCTCTCTCTCTCTCTCTCTCTCTCTCTCTCCCTGGGTGTTCTCTCTGTTTTTCTCTCTATGAATTTCCTACTTTGATGTTTTAAGGTCCCTCCTGAGGTGAGTAATACTTAATAAACTCATGTGCTATGGCTGATTTTTTTATGATGTACATTTCTGCTCAGATATCTTAGGCCACCAGTGAAAATTATATTTAAAGCTATTTATCTGGACAGATAAACAGTCACATCAAAATAAATAAAAATATACATTTTATACAAATATATAAATTATATACAAATTATTTTAATTACTCTTTTTTTAATTAACATTAAATTCTGATTTTATTTATATTTTATTTATTATATCAGCTTAGCCATTTCCAAAGCTTTCCTGGAGGAAGGCCAATTATTTACAGTTACTATCCAATACATAGTTTATCTAATCAGTCTTTCATTATGTTAAATCAGGTGTGCTGATTTTTCAAAACACAATTTAATGATGAAGATGTAAACAAAAGTATACAGAATTTTGGGTTTGGTTTGATGTGAAATGGTTAATTGTAGAGAAACTTACAGACTGATTTCTTTACAGTGGTGGTGATAGGAACCAGTGGTGACAATGTCAACAACACAGATATAGACATTTTATTTACTAAAACCACCAGTGAACTTACAACGTGTTTTCTGAGTTTTTATATGTCATGTTGGTTGTAAAATAGTGATCATTCAAAAAGAATCCTTTTTTTTTTGGGACTAGTTTGCTTTACAACACCCTGCGTGTACCCCTCTGTAGTTTTAGGCCAAAATCTTCTCAAACATATCACAAAACACAAGTTTCTCTAGAATGCAGCATTTCACATCAAACCACCTGAATGACTTATGCGTATTAACAATTCAGAATTCAGAAAATCAGTGGAATTCCCCTTTAACAAACCCATCTACATCAAAAAGAAGAGGAACCAAACCTGTGTTCTTTTAACCAGCTCACAAGATAGCAATAGCTTTACTGAAACGTTTACTGTAAGTGCGAAGAGAACAGTTTCTCTCCCTGTGTTTCCCTCTCTAACTCTACAGCTGCAGGACAGAACTGGTTCTTTTGACCAGCAGTTTTTCAGCGCTAATCCGCTGGTGAGCCGCTCTGGGCCGTATAAGAATGCAAGGGCCGTTTGGAGGAAGGTGCATCTGGACCCTGGACACTACGTCATCCTGCCATCCACACAGAGGCCTAACCAGCAGGGGGAGTTCTTCCTCCGCATCTACGCCAAGAAAGGAAACACACTGGGGTACGCAGGAGCATGATGGAGCAGGACACAATACAACGGCATGATGTTTCACTTGTGTTATTCATTTAGATAATAACACAGTAAGATTTTGGGGTTTTTAGTTAGGTAGTAAAAGGTAATCAAATCTAGGTGGGGGGTTGTAATAAACATACGTAATTTGTACGTATGTATATATGTATACGTATATATCCACATAAACACATATACACACGCACATATTTATATATACGTACATATATATGTATAGATATATATATCATATCATAATCATAATCATATATATATATATATTATGCATATATATATGTATATATATATATATATATATATATATATATAGTGAGAGAGAGAGAGAGAGAGAGATAATTTCTGTATATAATTCAATCATTGAGATGCAAACAAAGTCGTTCAGAGCTTTTTGATATGAACTCCTACGTTCTAGAGAAGCTTACCAACTCATGGTGGAGAGAAACATGCAGAACGTTGTAGGGCAAAATAGAACCTAAAGAAAATGCGTCATATCAGATTTGTCCCTATTTTACCATTTTCAACATTACATCTAAAACTGAGAAGTTCAACTCAAAACTTCTTTATTTATTTATTTATTTATTATTTACTTTTTTGGCTCTTCTTTCTTTCATCTTTATTTCTTGCTTTCTTTCTTAGTTTCTTTCTTTCTTTCACTTCTTCCTCCACTGCTTAGCATCCTGAATGTGTTATATCTTTCTGTTTTTTCTTTCTTTTTTCCCTTCTCTTCATAAAATATATATATTTTTTTCCATTTATTGTGGAGAGATACATCCAGGGCACTGTAAGGCAAAATAGTCCTAAAATAGTAATCAGATTTATCACTGTTCATTTTGGATAATAAATAAAATGGCTATATTTTCTGTATATGTGTGTAGACATTGTGATCCCTGGTTTGTATCACCACCAAAAAGAAATCTGAGTTGGTAAGTTTAGAATGAAGCATTTCATTCTATCATTTTGGAATTAACTATCATAACTATAACATACTCTACTGAATGACTTTCTTTACATTTCAACAATTGGACTATGCAGAAATTTTGAAAAATTGGAGGAATTCCCCTGTGAACTATTTTGTAGTTTTGTGGAAATAGATAAGCACCTTCTTATTTTACTGATTCCTCTGTTTCAGGCTCCGTGACATCACCTGTCCTACTCCTTTCAATATGGTGAGTAAATTGCTAAAAGAAATCAATGTTACAACAATTTCATTTCATCAGAAACTAACACTGTCGTTGTTTGCCCTGAAGACTGTAATGTCAAAGCCACCCCTTCCTGAGGATCAAAAGAGGGTGGAGAAGTGGTTTGACAAAGAAGCTGGACCGGTAAGCCTCCATAATCTGACCAGTCCGTGCAAACTGAAAGTATGATAAAGGGGAAGTCCATAGATTTTTCAAAATGTCTGCATAATTGAATCGGTAAGATGTAAACAAATGCATTGTTTTAAAGAAACTTGCTGACTTCCTTACAGTGATGATGATCAGGGGTCATGGTGTCCACAACACAATCATTTTATTTACTGTCCAAAACAACCAGTGAACCTACTTGAGTCTTTTGAATTTATGTTATTATTATTATAATTATTATACTTCTGAAAATATAATTATCTTTGGGAACTATTTTGCCTCCCTGCATGTACATATCCACCATATCCACTGTTTTACTTGATTTATCTTCACTTTTAATATTATTTTTGTATGTTTTAGCTATATCTCAGCTGCTTTTTCACTTTTATTATTCTTTTTTAATTATTTTTATTATTATTACTATTATTATTATGATTTATTTTATTCTTTTTATTATTTTTTACTGCCAATTTGTCTTACATCTTCTATTTATTTATTTCATTAATGGTGTTTTTTTATTTACTTTATCCTTATCTGCTCTGTTATTTATAAAGCTACTATACTATTGTAATGGTAATAGTTTTTTGATTACTTTTTTATATTAAATTTTTGCACTACGATTACTTTTACTTTTTAGCACTTGCAACATTTTTTTTCCTATCCAACCTCTCTATATTGGCTCAGCTACCTTGTAAATGAGGGTCCCCCTACTCTGAGTTGAAATAAAGGTTGATTAATTAATTAATAATTGGAATGGATTGAGAAAATACATTTTAGGAAAAAAGATCATCTCAAAACTGTCATAAAACAGTGTCTTGGGCATCAGGTAACATATACATAACCGTTTCTTGTAATAACTTTCTGTAAGGTAGCTTAACTCTTCAGACGTCTGGTTCCTCTCACAACCACTGTGAACAATTCTGACTGTAAGTTTCTCTAGAACAGAGCATTTCACACCAAACCACTCTGAATGACTTTGTTTACATATTTACCATTTAATTATGCAGAAATGTGGAAAATTGATGGAATTTCGCTTTATGTTAATTGTACAGTTGTACTAATATGATGAATTAACTTAATTAAGACATACACATACCTCATATCACTCACTAAATATGTCAGTCATTTTGTTTTCTCCCCTCAGGATGACCGACTGAATGCATTGGAGTTTATGAAGCTGGTGAACACAGGTCAGGAAAGTCTGGCACAAGCTGTACAAAGAAAAGTTTTGTGAAAGCCAAAGTTATGCTGTTTTACACTTTCCTCATTTATAGTTTTTCAGCAAAAATGGACTCTTGGATTATACATTTCCTTTTGACTAGAACACACTGCTCTGTTCAACAGCTATATTTATCAAACAAATCGCAGCTGAAGTACACTGTAGTACCAGAAATGGCCACTTGGTGGAGAACTTGTGTTGACTTCTGTTTGTGCCTTTGTCTGGTCCAGGTTCATGAACTCAAGCACCCCACTTCACTCTTATTAGAACCATGTGCAGCAGTGTAACTCTCTCTATAGTGTTGTGGTTTGTTTGCTTTTGGCAGTAAAGCTTGTGCTGCTCTCTCTCTCTCTCTCTCTCTCTCTCTCTCTCTCTCTCTGTTGTAGTGCTGGAGAAGGACTATCATCTTCCTCTGGAAACCTGCAGGCAGCTCATCTTTGGGGAAGATGTATCCTCATGTTTGAAGTGCCCTCTCTCTGCATGTTCTTGTTGCTCTTTCTTTCTCTCCCCCTGCATTTATTCTTTCTTTCTTTTTTTATTTTTGTGGCTTCTTCTCTTCTTCAGTGCCAAATTAGTGTTCTGAGAGAAAGTGTGTTTCTTTCTCCTTATGATTCTCTTCTCTTCTCCCTACACTGGTTAGCATCCTGAGTCTGTTATCTATCTATCTATCTATCTATCTATCTATCTATCTATCTATCTATCTATCTATCCATCCATCCATCCATCCATCCATCCACCGCTACCATTCACTTTTCCCTCCACTGTTTAGCATCCTGAGTACATTCTTTCTTTCTTTCTTTCTTTCTTTCTTTGTCTTTCTTTCTTTTGTTCTTTTTTCCATTCTTTGTTACTTTCTTTTCTGCACTTCCATTTTATTCCTTTTTTCCTGTTGTTTGCTTTATTTTTTTCTTTCTTTCTTTCTTTCTTTCTTTCTTTCTTTCTTTCTGTCTTTCTTTCTGTCTTTCTTTCTTTCTTTTGTTCTTTTTTCCATTCTTTGTTTCTTTCTTTTCTGCACTTGCATTTATTCCTTTTTTCCTGTTGTTTGCTTTTTCTTTCTTTCTTTTCTTTCTTTTTTCTTTTTTCTCTTTTACAGTTATTTATTTATTTATCTGTACTGTTTCTTTTCATTTTCTTTCTTTCTTTCTTTCTTTCTACTGTTGCTTGTTTTGTTTTTTCTTTTTTTCCTTTTTTTGTTGTCTTTCTTTTACTGTTTATTCTTTCACTTTCTTTCTTTCCTTCTTTTTATTTATTTCTTTTCCTTGTCTTTTCTTTTTCCTCTACTCTTTAGCATCATTCCTTTCTTTCCTTCTCATTTTTTTCATTTCTTTCTTCCTTAGTTTATCTTCCTTTTTTCATCCTGAGTGTGTTCATTCTTTCTTTCTTTTGCTCTTTCTTGCTCTGTTTTCTGTTCCTTTCAGATGGTTTCTTGCTCTTCTCCCTCAGTTGGTTAGTGTCCTGAGTATTGTGAGTGTAGACTGGACGTCGAGGCAGATTAAGTCGAGATCAGGCTGAGAAGCTTCTGTCTTCACTGCGTAACCTGCAGGTACACAAACCGCCTGTATAACTGCAGTCAGTGAGCTCTACTCTGACATCATTCACACATACACAAAGACTGCTGAATGATCTTTTGATGCACAAGGCCTTAAATCTTTTATCACTCTCTGCCTTAAAATCAGCAAACTGTAGCCTAGGCTGCAATCTAGATGACAAAGACTCTGCATTTAATGCACTCTTTAAATCCTAGGAGAGTTTGTCACTGCTTGCAGACTCCAAACTGATTGGTTTAATTAAAAGTGGCACAGAATTAAACCAGTTATTTTTAATGCATGATTTCTGATACAAGTACATCCAGCAGGCCTGTATGTTTCATTAAGCTACCCAATTTTTCTGCAACAGAAATGGTAGGACACAAAATGTATACCTATAATGAGTACAATGTGCAAGTTATACACTTTACACACTGATAAGTTAGTGACAGGTCCACATTTAAAAAAAATAATTAGGTCCAGTCCCAGCCCAAGTGCCCCCTCCTTCATGGTCCATAGACATGCATCTTTTTGGATGACAACATAACCTTTTAAAGTTTTTTCAAAAAACTACAGTTCCCCAGAATGAAAGGTGTTTTGGAGTAGAGTTGCATGGGGCTGTTTTTAGCACAGTTTGAGGGGAAAAAAACAGTGGTCTCTGTATCTGTGTCCTCTCTCTGAACTCAAGCCACTTCAGCATGCAGACCTAATAAAACATGTTAAATTTAAGCCAAAAAGTTACAGACTCCTCCACTTTACGTCTGGAAAACAACATTCGTGTGTAGAGAATTACGCCACTCTTGTGGTTCTCCATCGGTGGAAATGTTTTGAAAGTACTGATGTTTATCAAGAATGTAAACATTATTTTCTAAAAATGTTGTTTTTTTCCATTCTAGTCAATCTTTTTTAAGTATGATGAGGATTCGTCAGGAACCATGAATCCATTTGAACTCAGTCAGGCCCTCAAAGCAGCAGGTACGAACTCAGAGCACACTAACACACACACGTTTTAATACAGGGTCAGGACAGGGCCATAGATATGTTACATATATATTACATTGCTGCTGTCAGAACAGAATCTCGTATCTCAAAAATGGTCTTTACAGGAGAAGGAAAAAACTTACTTTACTTTTAATGTAAGTCAGTGGAACCAGACTTTTTACCAAGTCATTTTGGGCCGTTTCTGTTGGTCCATTCATCATGAAATTTACAAACAATGTAAAGAACAACAGGCATTTTCAAAATATGCCAAAAACTGAAAAATGTCAAAAATGGACCATATAGGTGCACTTTGTAGTTCTACAATTACAGATTATAGTCCATCCATTTCTCTGCATACTTTGTTAGCCCCCTTTTACCCTGTTCTTCAATGGTCAGGACCCCTACAGGACCACCACAGAGCAGGTATTATTTGGGTGGACTATTCTCAGCTCTGCAGTGACACTGACATGGTGGTGGTGTGTTAATGTGTGTTGCGCTGGTCTGAGTGGATCAGACACAGCAGTGCTGCTGGAGTTTTTAAACACCTCAGTGTCACTGCTGGACTGAGAATAGTCCACCAACCAAAAATGTCCAGCCAACAGCGTCCTGTGGGCAGCGTCCTGTGAGCACTGATGAAGGACTAGAAGATGACCAACACAAACTGTGCAGCAGCAGATGAGCTATCGTCTCTGACTTTACATCCACAAGGTGGACTGACAAGGTAGGAGTGTCTAATAGAGTGGACAGTGAGTGGACACAGTCTTTCAAAACTCCAGCAGCACTGCTGTATACATAACTGTATACATATACTTTCATAGTGTTTACTGAGTTATTAATAGTGGTAACTGGATAATTAGTGTTAAGACAACTGAATAATGCCTAGCTTTAAAGGGTTAACTCCCATTCCTGTGCTTCTCTTTCTTTATCTTTTTCTGCCTTTCCCCTGCACACTGACTCTCTCTCTCGCTCTCTCTCTCTCTTTCTCGCTCTCTCTTGCAGGTGTGCAGTGTGATAATTGCATTCTGCAGATGTTGTGGGAACGTTTTGGCTCTGGAGAACAGCACCTGCCCTTCCCCAGCTTTGTCTCGTGTGTCACCAGGCTGCAGGTCCTTGTGGGTAAGCCTCTTCATTACCGCTCAATCCCCAACTGCATTACACAATCCAAACTGAGGCGTACAGGTTGCTGCAAGACTGTCTGATGTAACAGCAAGTCTGTACTGAGAATGTTGCTGTGAACAGAACTCGAGATATTTAAATGCATATCTCTGGTCAAGAAAAACACTGATTAAAATTTAAGCTCTCAGTGAATTGGCTGAATGATTAGTTGGCAATCGCGGGTCCCCATTAAGCTGCATTTAGCTATCATGTCCCCATTAAGCTGCATTTAGCTATCATGTCCCTATTAAGCTGTATTTAGCTGTCATAGGTCCCTATTAAGCTGTGTTAAACTATCAAAGGTCCCTATTAAGCTGCGTTAAACTATCATAGGTCTGTGGTAAGCTGCATTTAGCTATCATATGTCCCCTATTAAGCTGCACTTAACTATCATAGGTCCCTATTAAGCTGCATTAAACTGTCATAGGTCCCTATTAAGCTGTGTTAAACTATCATAGGTCCCTATTAAGCTGCATTTAGCTATCATATGTCCCTATTAAGCTGCATTACACTATCATAGGTCCTTATTAAGCTGCGTTAAACTGTCATAGGTCCCTATTAAGCGGTGTTAAACCATCACAGGTCCCTATTAAGCTGTGTTTAGCTATCATAGGTCCCTATTAAGCTGCATTAAACTATCATATGTCTCTATTAAGCTGCGTTTAACTATCATAGGTCCCTATTAAGCTGTGTTTAACTGTAATGGGTCCTTATAAAGCTGTGTTTAGCAGGCCAAACACTCTCCACAAGGGGGAGCGGTTAGCAGCCATGTTGCTTTTGTGTGCATCACTCAACCTTTTGTTCTAAACAGTTTACCAACAAAATTCCAAAATGTGAGAAAACACAGTTTTACATTAAGCCTAGTTTGTGTCTAATACAGTTGTATGCAAAACGTTGAATACACTGGATGAAATTTTCTAAGTGAAAATATGTTAACACATCCTCTACAGCAGGGGTGCCCACTCAGATCCTGGAGATCTGCCACCCTGCAGAGTTTAGCTCCAACCCTAATCTTACGCAAATGATCCAGATAATGAATGTCTTCAGGGTGTATAAATGTTAGAGCCAGGTGAGTTTGATCTGAACTTTCCAGGGTGTAGAATCTCTAGGACCAAAAAAGAAGTACTATTTTTTGCGGAGTTTACATATTGGAAAAAATAAAACATGAAATATAAATTGTGCCATAAATTTTGCACATTTGATGTTATGCAAATAAACAGTAATTGAAAATTAACGCCTTAAAATCCCAGGCTTATTACATGCTAAACCTTTTATTCAGTAACTATAGAGACTTCAATGCATACTACCTGAGCTGTTCTTCGGTTATAGAAGTGTGTAATAAAACTTTGGGCCTGCTGGCGGACCCTGGCCTGTTGAGGGGTTAAAATGTGCAAATATGTGTTCTCTGCCTTGTGGTTTTGTCAGTACGTCTGTAGAGCGTTTCTGCCACAGGATTGAGTAATGCGTATGTCTTTTACGTCATTGGCACAGTGATACGATGTGAGTGTAAACATGTTAATTGAAGGAATTTATCTGTCGCATGTGCTTCTTCTTAGCTCTGTTTGAGTCAGAGAGCAGCCTCGAGGTGAAGAACAGAGGAATAACTGCGGTAAGACCTGATACACCAATCATACTGGATTAAAAGTCACTCCACAATTAAATTAAAGCTGTTCTTTTTCTGTACCAGTGGCTCCTACTTCTGGTCTGAAGACCCCTTTGCCTATGGTATTTTGTTTCTGCTCTAACAAACCCACTTCAGCTGCCCTTGACCAAAAAAAAAGTTACTATTTTGGAGATACTTGTTCTCTGGACAGTGACTCCCTCTCTCCCTCTCTCTCTCTCTACATATATATATGTGTATATATACATATATATATATATATATACATATATATATATATATATAGTCTATATATACATGTGTGTGTGTGTGCGTGTGTGTGTGTGCAAAATGTGGAACAACTCTGGTCAAATTACATGTTTTGTGAAAATAAGTTAACACATCCTCTACAGAGAACACACTTAAATATGGCATTTTTCTGCAAATTTAAGTGCACAAATTCAAATTTCTATTTACTAGAAAAAAACATTTAGAAAATAAACAGTAATTGTGTATTAAAGTGTACAGAAGTGTGTTCTCTGTTGAGGATGTGTTAACCTATTTTCACTTAGAAAATCAACTAAATATAATTGACCAGGAGCACCGAAACCGGCTAGAGAGTAAAGCCTCAGAGGATGGATGACACTCAGAGGATGGATGACACTCTCCCCTCTAATATCTTTGATTTCAGAAGAAATGTTGGCAGTTGTCTACAATAACAATAACAGTACACCATGTGGGCTGTGACTGTTAGCATGTTTGGTTACTCCATTAGCGTGAGGTAAATTGGAATAGGGCTACTATTGCTGAGGGAGTTCGGGGTTCAGCCAATTACACAGGTCTATTCTTTCCATAATTATTGTGGATGCATATTCATACTAGATTGAAATAACTCCACAATTGTTACTGTCAGACTACAAAAACTACACACTGTAGATCAGAGGTGCACAACTCCAGTCATGGAGGGCTGGGGTCCAGCATTCTTTGTTAGTTTCCCTACTCAAACACCCCCACTAAACCTGACAATTAACAGATGAGTTGACTCAGGTGCGTTTGTGCAGGTAAATCATCAAACTGTGTGGGATGCTGGCTCCAGGACTGGAGTTCTGTACCCATGCTGTAGATTCATACTGGATTAAATCACTCCACAATTATTACTGTCAGACTGTAAAAACTACACACACTGCAGATTCATACTGGATTAAAATCGCTCCACAATTATTACTGTCGGACTGTAAAAACTACACACACTGCAGATTCATACTGGATTAAAATCGCTCCACAATTATTACTGTCAGACTGTAAAAACTACACACACTGCAGATTCATACTGGATTAAAATCGCTCCACAATTATTACTGTCGGACTGTAAAAACTACACACACTGCAGATTCATACTGGATTAAAATCGCTCCACAATTATTACTGTCAGACTGTAAAAACTACACACACTGCAGATTCATACTGGATTAAAATCGCTCCACAATTATTACTGTCGGACTGTAAAACTACACACTGTAGATTAGTGGTGCACAACTCCAGTCTTAGAGGGCCGGGTCCAGCACTGTTTGGTAATTTCCCTACTCAAACACACCCACTAAACCTGGCAGTTAACATACGAGTTGACTCAGGTGTGTTTGTGCAAGTAAATCACCAAAACTGCGCTGGACGCTGGCCCTCCAGGACTGGAGTTCTGTACTCATGCTGTAGATAAGTGCTGGATTAAAATCACTCCACAATTGTTACTGTGTGACTGTAAAAAACAAATCCAGCCTGTCCCTGCCTTAGTCTCACACTTCCTCGTTGACTAGGACAGGTCAGTTCACGCAGATTTATATTGAATTAAAATTATGGATTGTGTCAGTAATCGACTCTTTTGTTTGATGCCCATGTTAGACCTGTTGTTAAAATCTCTTTTTTCCACCTATTGCAACAAGTCCTGCTACTCACACTTCTTTCTTCCCTGCAAACCCACTCATACTCTCAGGTCCTCTTCACCATTCTTTCATCAAACCTCCGTAACTTCCAGTCACTGGAACTCTCTCCTTCCGCAAGTCCGACAGTCTGATTCTCTCCCCACATTCAAATCTAATCTTAAAATATACCTGTTTTCTCTCATCCACAACCTTCCCCAAGGCGAAACTACTCCTCCATCCAGGTTTTCTCTGTGTTTCTTGTCTCTATGTTACTGTGCTTTCTTGTTTGTTCTTGATGTTCTGTGTTTTGATGTAATTGTAGGCATCTTTGGGTTTTTGAAAAGGGCTTTATAAGTGTCGAGAATTGTTATTATCATTAGTAATCACTTTAATTACAGTACATCCCCTGATCAAAGAACAAATCCAGCCCCAATAAGGTTCAGCCTGTCCCTGCCTTAGTCTCACCCTTCCTCTTTCACTAGAACAGGTCAGTTCATGCATGAGTGTAGCAACCGTGTCATTCTGTGTTTTCATTAAAGGAAAAGGAGAAGGACTGTATCTGTAGTTTAGCTTGATCTGGATCAGAGTTAACCCCTACAAGAACCCTTAGATCCCTTAAAGGTTTATTACAGGTGATAATAAAGCACACTGTACTTTGATGTTAATTATTGCTCATAGCTTATTGAAATTATGTGGAAACTGCAGATTCTAAATGTTCAATCCATAGTGCATGTGCCTGTATGTAAAAGAGGAGATTTATTATAATTTTAATTTGATGGAAAGTTATTCTAGAGGATGCAGTCTTGTTTTGTGGAAAAAAGTAACATTCTTTACATTTTTGCCATGTGTTTGTCATTTTTTGACCTCTAAATAAACAAAAAAGGTTGTAAGTGCGAACTAAAACCTGTTGATACAGTATGAAAATCGAATGTAAATACAGGACTTTGAAATTTCTAAAGTTATTTATCTGGACAGTAAGCTTTTATTTGCTCAGAAAAACACTAGTATTACCATAAACACAAATAATATCAATACAAAAAGTAGTGATTTTATGTCAGTGTGTCCATCAAACCATTTCCTGACCTCGCCTCAAGGAAACACAGTATTAATTAATTACTCAATTATTTAACTTTAACTTAATTATTTTGAATCAACTGCTCTGGTAATGAAATATAAGAAATCCATGCGATGATGGGAGGCAGCAAGGAGACAAAACAAAAAATCCTTGTACCTTTTTACTGCATTTATTTGCTTTTTATTCTAATGATTTCACAAGCAATAAAGTATTGGCAAGATAAATGGCTTTAAAAATGTGCTTAGATGCCTGGGCCTTTTTTACAGTGCTGTATATTTCGTTACTTAACTATGTAATTAATTATGTAATTACATAGTTACATTTAAATAATGCAGCAAATTACAGTAATAACTTTAAACCTCTAACGGTTAATGTGATTTAAAACTGTTCTGTCTTGTTGATCGGTTCTCTCAGTCCTCTGTATAGTGAACACAGAGCTAATTCAGGTGGCAGAGAAGTACCTGTAGGCTGTTGGTTATTAATAACTGTACTGGTGGAGTGGTGTGCGGTGTATAACGGCTTGTGCCTCTGTTTTTTGCAGTGGCTGCTAAGGCTGCTGGCCGTGTGAGCGTGCTCAGATGCGACACCTCAGCAGGACAGACCTGCTTGGCCAGGACTAAACTGACGTCATCCACCTAGGCCTGCGTATTACTCTCTCTCTCTCTCTTTCTCTCTCTCTCTCTCTCTCCCTCTCTCTTTCATTCTGTTAACGCCAGCTCTGTCTGGACTCCTGTTCCAATCACCTCCACCCACTCATCCCACCATCACACAGGTCATGTGGGTCATTTCTGATTTTGTCCAGACAAACATGTGCAAACATAAGCTCTAGCTCTGCTTCTGTATTTTAAGGCAATTTCAAGTCAGGTACCTTAAAATAACACAGAAATAAAGCCTATGCATTTAAATATCTCTTAATGTTTCTGTATATTGCTTGTATTAGCTTCACTGTATGTCCAAACGTTTCCAGACACCCCTTCTGATTAGTGAATACGGCTACTTTAAGGTGGACCAATTGCTGACACAGGTGTTTAACTGCACAAACACACTTTGTATAATCTCCATAGAAAAGCATTGACCAATGGATTGGAGCAGCATATGAGGTCACCTAATGCCAAGCATCAGCTAAAGGGGTATAAACACCCAGTATTGGGCTGTGAAGCAGTGGAACTGTGTTATCTGGAGTGATGGAACTCCATCCAGTGCCTTTGGGATGAGTTGGAGTGATCCAGAAATGACCATCCTGACTAATGCTCTTCTGGCTAAATGCATTAAAATCCTAACTATTAAAGGGAGATTTTGCTGATTTTCCTAATAATTCAGTTGTTGAAATGTAAACAAACTTACTCAGAGAGGTCTGATGTGAAATGATTAATTGTAGAAAAAAATCTCTCATTTCTATTCATTGATAGGAACCAGAAGTTTTGATGTCTACAACACAAATGTATTTGTAGTTTTGTTTGCTATCCAAAACTACCAAGGAACCTTTTGATTTATCTTTTGATTTTTTTTGGTATGCAATGTTGTTAAAGATAAAAACCCCATAAAAAATCGTTCTTTGGGAATTACTTTGCCTTACAAAACTGTGGACGTACCCCTCCGCCATAAATGAATGTTAAAAAAAGTTGAAAATGATCAATTTTCATATGATAGAGGTTTTAGAGGCATTAGATGCTTCAGACATCTGGTTCCTTTCATCACCACTGTGAATGATTCTTAGTGCATTTCTCTAGAAAGAAGCATTTAACATCGAACCACTCTGAATGACTTGGTTTATATTTTAAAAAACCTATATTCTACATTTATTTTTTGTATTTTTATTTTTCCCCTAATGTCCACTTATGGCGTTTGTGTACGGTTTTGTACCAAAAACAGTCATCAATCATTTTTACACAATCTCAGTTTATCCCTTAGAATTAAACTGGCAGTTTTTTGTTACTGTGCATTTGGGATGGATATATGGAAATGATCCCTGTTCTGATTGGCCACGCTGTATTATGTTGTTTTCAAAAAGAAGGCCAGGCTGAAACACATCTTATAACTTAAGCAGGAATGGACAGGGCTAAACTGATGTTGGCTGAATTGGTGGATGAATGCTGTCACAAAAACAATGAATTCAAAATGAGTTTTTTTTTTTTGAAGCTTAATTTCCATAAATGGACTATATGGACTGGGGAGTGAACAGTATGGTTTGAAAATGTAGCAATGTTTATGTTTCATCAAACTCTTATTTTAAAAAAAGGAGGAAAATTTGGGTTTTCCGGATTAGATTAACGTTTTAATTATGCAGAGTTCTTTGAAAAATCAGTGGAATTCCATTTTAATAACCCCAACATACAAACTTTTGGACATACAGTGTATATTTCCCTATATAATTATAATCTGTATATCAGAGATCTTCAAGTCCAGACTTTTTTAACATCAACCAGTTTTTCATCCTGGAATTTATAATTGCTGGTAACTTTGCCACCCAGAGATTGAGTGGCTTAGATGTGTGTGTGTGTGTGTGTGTGTGTGTGTGTGTGTGTGTGTGTGGTAGTTAACTGAACAGTTGATGTAACTGACTGGCACCTAGTGTCATATCTACCAGCAATTACAAAATCCAGTACTGGAAACTGGATTCAAGGTCCAGATTTGAAGACGTCTGCCCTGTATTAAGTATGTTTCCATTTTTATTAGCCACTCTTTTTCTTCTTTCTCTCTAGCTTTATTATCCATTTTAAGCATTCCTTTCTGCCTACGTCAGTCTTGCTTGTCATTTCAAGTATGTACTGCTTTTAAGATTTACCAGTTAAGTACAAGAAGATCATCAGTGTTGGAATGCAGCCAGTTTCTCTAAAGCAAAAGCTGTATCGCAGTCAGATGTGAAATACTGAAATATGTCTTGCTGTATTCTTTGCTTTTTCTTCCGCTGGGCATGTACACATAATTTCCGAAATAAATTTGTGGAGCCAAATATAAACACTAACCATTACTTTCATAGAGGCACATTTCTATATTAAATAATGCTGTGCGTATACCTACACCTACACACACACACACACACACACACACACACACACACACACACACACTGTGCTAGGAGAGTGACTGTGGGTATTAAAAGCGATGTCTCAGCAGCGCTGCACGCATCGCCTCTATTCTTATCACTCTGACGCCACGCACGGCGTCATCACGCCATCGCTCCCTCCTCCGCTACGTTCTCCCTCCATCCCTCCCTCCGCTGCTCTCTCTAGTAACTGTCTCAGTGTGCTGCCTCCTCCCCTCGCTCGCCCCTCCCTCTCCCGCTCACTCACACACATGCGCGCAGCGGCGTATGCTTGCTCACACACTTTTTATACGCTCTTGTCCTTTCTCCTGAACTCCTATTTATAGAGGCGTATTTATAGGAGACCGAGGAGAGGTTGCCCCCGGCAACAGTCCAAGCGCCACTGGAAAGGGAGAGAGAGGAAGAGAGAGAGAGTCACATCCACACCTGTCACTGCTTTCCTTCCTTTTCCTCTTCCATTTATTCACAAGTACCTCTCAGCGCTTTCCTCTGATAAGCTCTCTGTGTTCTGGTCCAGCTCCCTCGGGCTCTCTCTCTCTTCTTCTCTATGCCTCTATGTCGCTCTCTCCCTGGATCAGCTGTAACAGAAGGACTAGTGTTGGGCCACATGCTGAGGAACTTCCCTTTCGCTCTAGGAACAACAATCCCCCCCAATCGTGCCATCGTGAGGTATAGACACGTCCTATGACCCGACCCTCAGCTTAAAGGGGAAATCCACCAAATTCTTGAAAGTAATGGCATATTTCTATAGTGGGGATGTAAATAAAGTCATTCTGAGTGTTTTGATGTGAAGTGGTTCACTGTGGAGAAATTTACAGACTTAAATTTCTTAACAGTGGTGGTGATAGGAACCAGGGGTCACAATGTCCACAACACAAATATGGCCATTTTATTTACTGTACAAAACCACCAATGAACCTACACTTGTCTCAATAATACTTGTATAATAGTGATAAAATGGTGGTAAAACTGAAAAAGTACATTTGCCATGGGTACTATTTTGCCTTACAACAACTCTCTGCCATGAATGGACTTTAAAAATAGGCTTTTTCTTTTGGCCAAAGGCTATTATAAAACTGTCAAACTGTCAGACATCAATTCATAACCATTTCTGTGAGGGAGCTTTTAGAGGCAGTGAAAGTCTGTTAGACATCTGGTTCCTCACATCACTGTGAACAACTCTGACTCTGAGTTTCTCTAAAACTGCGAATTTCACATCAAAACATCTAATTACTATGTTTACATCTTTATCGTTATGCAAAAATTGCCCTTTTTGAAAAGCTAGGTGTCCCCAAAGTTTGGCAGAGCATATCTGCCCCAAAACCTGGCACTAAACTTTAGCTATGACTCTTCTCCTTGATGAGGACGCAAGTTATTTACTATCCAAAATGACCAGTAAACCGACACGTCTCAATAATAGTGGTATAATAATGGTGAAATATTTGTAAATATTATGTCTGACTGTCTGCCCTGCGGTGGACTGGCAACCTGTCCAGGGTGTATCCTGCCTTCCGCCTGATGACAGCAGGGATACGCTCCAGCACCCCACCACGACCCAGAAGGATAAGTGGTTTAGATGGTGTGTGTGTGTGTGTGTGTAGTGGTAAATATGAAAAAGCATGCTTTCTTTAGGTACTGTTGTGCCTTACATACACCCCTCTGCCTTGAATGTATTTAAAAAATGCATAAGCTAAAAGCTCACAATTATCATAAAACAATGTATTTCGCATCAGAGAGTGTATTCATAACCATTTTCTGTAATAGCTTTCTAAGAGGGAGCTTTTAGAGGCATTAGATGCCTCAGATTTCTGGTTCCTGTCACCACCACTGTGAACACTTCTAAGTCTGTAAATTGCTCTAAAACAGAGTATTTCACATCAAAGTCTTAATGACTTTAATCGTAACCATTTAATTATGCAGAAATTTCAGGACCCCAAAGATGAGTTTTTTTTTTTTTAAATCTGTATTAAAAAAAAAGGAGCAGCTGCTCCCAATAGTCTCCACAATGTCAAATGTTTTCCATTATCCTGTGGACATTTGGATCCTACAAAGAGCTTAACACACACACATACACACACACACTAGTGTGTATTCCAGTCATTTCCTTTCTGTTCCTGTTTCCATGTCCTTCTGTATGAGGACATATACATATTGCTGTGCAACTCCTAACCCTGACCTGTTTTCTGTTTAAAAAAAATCCTCATGAAAGTGACCTCAGGTCTGTGAAACGCGCTATGTAATAAAACATTATTATTATTTTTAGCATTATTATTGGGCACCATTCCCACAATGTCGAAATGTTTATGGTTTCCATCATCTTAGGGTCATTTAGTCCCCATAAACAGATAAATAAACACAGAGCAAGCTAAATCTTTTCCACGGGCATGTTCAGTGACACCAACGCAAGTCAAAAATGTAAGCAGGACATGGAGAGTGTCACCTGTGAAAGTGCGGTAAATCAACTTGAGTGACCTTGATGAATAAGCGTCTGAAATAGCATCTAAAAATACAAAGCAATCTCAGTATTTTTGTCCTTTGCAGTTTTTAGCTATACTTTTATTTAACCTGTAGCGCTAATTCAGACTGGTTCAGTTTGTTCCAGCCAGAAGAAAAAAATGATGACTTCCTGAGGATAAAGTGAATCAGTCTGTCACAGAGTGCAAGAGCTTTTTTTTCCTTGTCCTTTGTGAATACCATTGAATTACAAGTAAAAAAACACATTTTAAGCTTGAACTGTGAAAATGGAACAAAGTCACGAAAGTTGGAATTTTTTGCATTAATCATTGCTGGGTTCCTAATGAATCACTATACATCTGGCCCTAATGAATCACTGTACATCTGCCCCTAAACAAGTCATTACAAGTCATTACTGCCCATAAAACAATTTGAAGAATCTTGACACTACTGGAGCTAGAATATTTTTGCAATGTCACATTGTCAACTTTGTTTCTACTGCCTGAAAAAAGGCAGTTTTTGTCCAAATTCTAAAAGGAATTTTCTCGTAGTTACTTCTCGATTGAGGAAGACAAAACACCTGCAAAGCTTTCATTAACATAAAAAGCTCAGCCTATTTGATAATACTTTATCTTCAGCACTTCCTCTTTTCTTTTTCAAACTATTGTTAAAAGCACATTTTGGGCCTCTTTACAACTTGTCAAATTTCACATGATCACATGAAAAGCCAGGTGTAAACACACCCAGGGTGCATTGTGAGTGGTCAAAGACAGATCCTGACCTTATTTAACACAAGTGTGAACAGAATGCGTTTTCATTGTCCGTATACAGTTACATGAGCAGAAGTGCATCTGCCAAGTGCTGA